TCGACTAATTAGTCGACTAAACATAGTAGCTTACTATAAAAATTTTTTAGTCGACTAAACCGATTCCAATCCTTACTTTGAAGGCTATATACCGACTTGGATTTACATATAAAAAGTATATAAATTTTCTACTTTGACTTTGTATCATAATTCTTGTATTTCTTCATGTATTCTCAACAAATATAAAATTTTGATCGTTTGGAATATTACCCCGAAATTCATTTTTAAATCAGTCGACAAATTCATGGTCATATTTAATTTTTTTAATATATTGGTACTATTCTTGTAATATATTTGTTATAAAAGTCAAATTTATATCTGATATTTCTTGCTAAAGTTTATCGGTTAATAAGCGCCATAAATTTTCGTGCAAACTAGACACACCAAATATGTTGGACAAGCATTCGACCGAAAATTTAATAATGTAGACATTATCGTTATAACGATCAGCAAAACAATAGTTATGATACAAAATAGCTTTTATTATACAGATCATGCCGAAATCACAAACTTAATTGAAAAATCATTCCAGGAATTATGAAAATAACAGTAAAAAAAAAACGGCGGTTTTCATATTATGAAAACAAAGGAATTAAGCTGTTCTCATAAATTCTGGGACAACTGATAGATAATTTACCGAGTCGGAATCAATAAGCAACCGACTTCGACCGAACTCAGAAACTTATCGAGTCAGTCATCGGCAATTTTTTAAGTTGTCCCAGAATTTATGAGGACAGCTGTAACTTTGTATAAAAATTTGATATACCTACTTGTTTACCAAAATGAATTTCCGTGCTCTGCTGTTTTACACGATAATACGTAAAATGGCATTGCGTTATTTTTTGTATTACGCTATTTATTATTCCTGGGACAACTGAAAAAATTGCAGATGACCGAATCAATAAGTTTCGAATTATTAACTTATCTACTTCCCATGAATAATGAAAAATAGCTGTAATTGTCTTCAACGCACTTCATCTCAATATCTACCATCTTTCATTACAGAAATTATGAAATTACAATTGAATTTCGATCAACTGAGACATATAACTTTGAATTAATTAATGCATGCTAATGGTTTCAAGTATTATACAAGCTAAATTATTGACAGAGTGGTCATTAAATTATGAAATGTTGTATAAGAAATTTACACAAACTGTCATGTGCAGTCCAAAAGCCAATATTGATACTTAATTACTAAGACATTCGTATTATGAATATTGCAGAATTTCTGATCAAGTACCTATTTGGTTCAAATCCATAAATACAATTAAAAGTTTCTAATTTATTTGTTTAATATTGCACATATTAATGATATTCACTCTTGATTTCTTGTGGGTAGGATAAATTACAGTGCTAGCTTAATATTATCATTACAAAGGGAACAGAATTATGATTTCCATGAACAGTGTTATTATACAATATCTTCACCTCAACTGACAAGTATTTATACTCTTGTCGCAAGTCAGAGTAGTGAATTTTCACTCTACAATAATAAAATGTTATATAAGTGTATTACTAGACTAAGTTACTAGAAATTTTACAGAAATTATCTTGTATGAGCTGCGAACATGAGGATTTATCTAGTTAGTATTAAGCCACTCAAAGTCCTACGGATAACCTAGAAAAAGCAAATCAACTTTGATATTCTCAATAGTTATATATTGATAACAAGTTTATTATTACAGTATAATGACTAAATCACAGTTCTTTCTAAAGATGTAAGATGTCGAGAGATAAAATTAGTGGGAAATAAGTTTTACCACTATTGGTGAAATTAGTGAAATTAATTTCACCAGCATTTTTAGTTCTTTCCATTCTCTAGTCTGCTATATTTATCAGGTTATCAATTGGACATTTAGGCTTCTTAAAATTACCAGCAATGTTTCTGGGAATTGATATTTATCAAGGATCGGAGCCGCCTAAAAATTCTTCTAATACTAATCGTTTAACCGTTTAACCGCGTTAATCACTTAGTATTAGTATTAATATTAGTTCAGCTGGCATTAAGATAATTTTGGCCAATGATCAACATAATTCGGCCTGAAATTATTGTACAATTTTTATGCGGCTAAATGGTCCCAATCCTTAAATTATTCATATCCATCTAAATTATAATTTTTTCAAAGATATCTTAACACCACCAGGCTACTGAATTTATTCAGGTTGTTTAAGATATCTTTTTAAATTTACAGGAGGGCATAAATATCAAAATAGGAGGATATAAATATCAGTTCCCTTTTTTTTTCGCCAATTTTATATTTATATATATATATACCATGTAAGCACTGATATTCATGTGGTGGTACTTAACTTTTTTAACATTTGTGCATACATCTTTCTTTCGCTTTAACTCTGTTGCATAAAATGGCTATAGAATTCTTTAAAAGACTTTCTAGTGATTTAACCAACCTACTTGAAAATGGTGAAGATTATAACGTAATAATTGAAGCCGGTCAAATGCCAAACTGTCAAATTTTTAAGGCACATTCAATTATTTTGAATTTTCGATGTTCTTATTTTCGTGAAGAATTAACAAAGAAAAGTTATGACAAGGAGAATATTAAAAAAATTTGTATTCCACATATTCCTACTTATGCTTTTGAAATTATTATTAAGTAAATGACTGTCAAATCATGTTTTAAATTTATGTTAATTAAATTATGTTTTAAGTGTATGCTTTTTAAATTATATAGGTATATTTATGGTGGTATAGTTCCGTTTGATAAAGTCAATGCGTCTACAATTCTTGACCTTTTAGCTACTGCTAATAAATTTGGTCTTGAAGAATTAGTTAATACTGCGCAATCACAGTTGGTTAAGAATCATGCGTCATGGATACGTCTGAATTTTGCCAAAGTTTCTAAAATATGTTTTGAATCTGATGATTTTAAGGTTTTACAAGAGTTTTGTAATGATATTATTGCCAAGCATCCAAGTGTAGTTTTTAATTCAGAAGACTTCGAGAATCTTTCTGAAAAAGCTCTGATTTCTCTTCTGAAACTTGACAATTTACAAATGGATGAAGGAAAAATCTGGGATCAAGTTATTCATTGGGGAATTGCTCAAAACGCTGATCTAAATTCGAATCCTGCACAATGGTCTGATGCAAATTTCTCAACTTTAAAAACTACTCTCAAAAATTGTCTACCTCACATCCGATATTTTCAAATTACCGGCGAAGATGTTATTAAAAAGTTATATCCGTATCAACAAATCATTGATCCTAATTTGTGGAAAGATATTATGACGAAATTTGCAGCTCCAAATTTGCCTATTTCCTCGCCTATTTTGCCTTCTCGAATAATCTCAAATACCGATTTGCCACCAAGAAATACTGGAACTTCAAGTGGTATTACAGGTTTATTTTTAATAATTCACTACGATTTATTAGTATATAATTTATATGTTTCTACATGTTTTTTTTTTATTAAGAAAAAAAAAATTTTGAAGGTTAGTATGATCGGCTGATTTTGTTTTGACCCCAAAATAATTGAGGATTTTCAAAAAATTTTACGCTTAAAATTTTTACGATGCAAATTTTTATAAAAACGGCCTTTTTAACAAACTTTGTACTTCTAATTAAACATGTAGAAAATTATGAGATTTACATGTTTTATTATAGGTCAAAAGTAGGTTAAAAGGCCATTTTTAAAAAATTTGCTTCCGAATTCACCCTTGGTAGATACCAACCAACCAAACAATGATGAACCAATCCTAAAATACCAGAATATATCACAAAACATTAGAAGTACGTCTTTCTACAGCTTAGCATAGCTGTTTTATTTAAATTTTCTTGTTTTTTATCTTGTCTATGCGCTAAAAAAGCACTTTAATTAGTTGTATGAGTGCTTCGTTTGTTACTTTTTCGACGTTACTTAGAAGCAAAAATTTGGGTAACTTTTGATCTAAAAAAGGCCCTATTTCCTTGATATTCATCTTGGCACATATCCTGACCGTTTATTCCATTATTATTAAATTATTATTTTATAATTTCTATAATTTACTAATTGATTTTTTATTGATTTTTTAATATTAAAGCACGTAAAAGACTTGTTAGCCATAAAAAAGAAGTTTTTGCTGATAATATGGCAAGCGATAGCTCTGATAAAGAAGTTCTTGTTGATAGCTCTAATAAAGAAGTTCTTGTTGATAGCTCTAATAAAGGAATTCTTGTTGATAAGATGGAAAGCAATGCCCCTATGGAAATCGATATCCCTACTGATAAGGCGGAAAGCGATTTTTGGAGTAAATTTAGGGGAAATTACAAATAAGGGACCAAAACTGAAAATAATTACAAATAAGGGCCCAAAATGAAAATAATTACAAATAGAGGCCCGATTTTTGAAAATTAT